GAGAGGTAAACTAATGCGTTAAAATGCCAAAAACTGCTGTAATTTCCTCAACTTTCTGGCGAGTGTGCTTGAGAAGCACTGAAATTAATGGGCTTCAATACAGGGACTATTGGCTGTTTGGAACTATTGGAGGCTCCATGACACGCTTTACTTCCGCATTCCTCAGTTCCTATGGAAGCCTATGGGAGTGTCGTAACACTGTTTCTCAACGTTCTGAGTCGGATACTATGTCTTACCAGACTGTGTGCATGACTTCATGTGCTCAGGCCAGTGTGCTTGTTGGCAGGGATAGTCGCAGTAGCTGGTGTTCCAACAGCAGTAGAAAATGGCCTCCTTTCTGCAGTTTGCACACCACTGCTTCTTTTTAGTTTCATCTATGGCCTGCTGTTTCTCCACCTCCATCTGCTTCTTGACCTCCGTCACGATTCGCTCTCGCTCCTGTTCGAGACTCTGCCTCATCTCTGCCATGGTTAGCTCTGAGTACATTTAACAAATGTGGACAAACAAAAATGCAGTCAGTATGGAATATTGATGCACAAGATATTGGACCCATATCAGTAGGGCCCTATGAAATCGGTTTTAATTTTTCCCAAATTCCATTATATTTTTTTCTCAAATTTAATTTTTTTCTGTTTTAAATTTTAATGGTTAAATTAAATTTTAGTAAACAAAAAGCATGTCTAGTTAATTGAAATCATAAAAATGTACAACAATTTATTAAAACTATAACAAAAATTTCATTTTTAGGGCCCTAAGAAATTGTATTTTTCCCAAATTCAGGTGCTTCATGTACTTGACATGTCGTGTGTGCATGAATATGTGTAGTGAAGGAAACTACACTTTTTACACAAACTACTTTTAATTTATTGCTTTAGGCAGGCATTGGAAAATGTCTTGCACATGGTCATCCCCTTCATGCTCATTTCATTATTGGTGCATCCCTACGTTAATTAAACTATTATCAGAAACGCACATACCTAAATTGTGCTTCATCTCTGATAATTCTTGTTGATGTAGCCACTGCAGTTTTTCAATTTCAATTCGCAACCGTCTTATCTGTAACAGGGCAAAAATGGCTGTTTTATTCATATTTTCAAGTTGTTAAATAACTCACCAACAGTGCTTTGCTCTTCTCCAGATTTACTTTACAAATACAAACCTCTGCTATTGTGTTTCCCGATGTGCCTTTGGAAAGGTCATTATATATCTCAGTCATCGTCCCTTTAACTGCATCCATGATCTGTTGGTCAAACACATCAATAATTATGTCAACAGAACAATTAAAATGGTTTTCATCTAAAGGTGTAGTTTGCAGCCCCCATTTCTTTTAGCAATCTCACTTTATTAGTGTACTTCGCTATATCAGCTGCTACATCTGCAGACGTGGTGGGGATCTGGAAGTCTCCAGTTGTGGATGTTGATGATGAAGAGGAAGAGCTGACGGTGGGTCCTGCCATCATGGTGGCCGATACCGGTGTGCTGGTCACCAGGGTGACGGCGGAGGTGGATGTGGTGTGTGTCGAGTCTTTCTGTTGCACTGCTGCAAGAACAAACCCAACAATAATGATATTTAAGTTTGGAATAAGATGTTTTTGAAAGTTGTCTCTTATGCTCACCAGAGCTGCATTTACTTGATTAAAAATAAAACAGTAATATTGTGAAATGTTATTGCAATTTAAAATAACTCTATTTTAATTAATTTCAAAATGTAATTTATTCCTGTGATGGCAAAGGTGAATTTTCAGCATCATTACTCCAGTCTTCAGTGTTACATGATCCTTCAGAAATCATTCTAATATGCTAATTTGGTGCTCAGTTATTTTTTAATTATTATTGCTACACAATTCTTAATAATAGTTCTTCTTATTATAATGTTGAAAACAGTTTAGTGTTTTATTTTTTTATTTTTAATCAAATAAAAGCAGCCTTGGTAAGCACGAGAGACTACTTTCAAAAACATTAAGAAACCTAATTATTCCAAACTTTTGACCGGTATTGTACATATGACATTTAGTAAGGCAAGGTGAAATGAAAATGAGACCAATCGAACCAATCACCGCTGATTAGCGTCACAAAGGAGGGGTTTGGGAAAACGAATCGTTGAGCGAATCGTTTGGGAGTCGTTGAGCAAATAAAGTAAAAATAAATGCATATTATAAGACAATGAAAGTGTTTTTTGCCCTTGCATGCATGTCAACCTGATGTTGGGGACTCCCAAAACCAAAATATGAACCTTTCATTACCCATAATAGGGGCACTTTAAAACACTAAACGTCATTTTGATACAAGTGAAATTCGGTATTACAACATTATATATATATATATATATACACTGTACATACATGCAACATTTATCATTTTCATTTAAATTTGAAACTCGGTGAGTATTGTAAATAACTAAAATGTATGACAAAATTACTAAAACTTTAAAATGAAGACAGAAAATATAAAAGTAAAAACAAATTCTAAATATTAATAGATTTTTTTTTTTTAAAGAATTTAAAAAAAGACAAAAACACAAAATAAAATGACTTTAATAATAACTTAATACTTTCATTTAAACTATTAATAAAAATTATAAGAGTATCTCTGGCATAAGAACACATTAGCCAATTTACCTTGTATCCAACCAGGGAAACAATATAAAGAGGCAAGCAATAATCAGAATTTTTCAACAAGACATTTGTTGGTTTACTAGTTTCAGGTTTTGTCCAGTTGAATCTTAGAATGGTTCAAAATCCAAATAAACAATGGTTTAATTTAAAAAATGCACAAAACATTTTTGTATATGTTGATAATATGGCAGTCATCTTAGGCTTGATAAATACATACATGGGCAAGAATTATAAATTTATGCTTAAGGTATTGTATCTATCTTAATTTAATTTACGCTGAAAAAAAGGTCTACTGCAACGTACAAAACAACTGGCTTAGAAACAATACGAACACTGCAATAATATTACAGTAATATTAATAAAGAAGTTATCTGAGGTGAATTTCAATTTCAACACAATCGATGACTGAGACGCAAGATGGCGCCAGTTGCGTTTGTATGAAACACAAGAGAGCGATTCCGCTATGCGACAAGAGCGTTGATCAGGCAAGTCAAAAGGTTTTCACTCACCATTGTGTGAATTTGCAGTCAGCTATAATTGTTTTAATCTGTAAGTGAAAGCGTCTGATAATAATGGGGTTACGGAGTAGTAGTAGTAGTATACGGCAAGTCATGTGATCACGTGGAGAGCAGCATAAAGCAACCCGCTAGATCCATAGTCTTATTTTACATGGATCTGAGCTGCATCATACATATAATTATATAATGTATATATTACATTACATTATATAATGTATATATTATATATTTTATATTATTTCAATATTTTATTCTTTGATTTATTGTTAATTACTTTTATAAATAAAATGACTGAATGCGCCTTTAAAACATCAACTATCATCTGATTGGTTGTGAATTTGATTGTTTTGCATACTGATTCACTTTCAATAGTAACATAAGAATTACTTGATGCTGATCTAATAGCATCTGGTGCAACTGATGTTGCTAGAAGTTTTATCCACATTTTTTGGATTAACAGTATTATTTACTGCTTTATTGGCACTGATTCATAAAGAGAATCTGACCTTCAGGTTTGGAGGCTGTGGGCTCTTTGAGTGCAGTGCCAGCGGCTGAATCTTTCCTGTTCCTCTTCCTCTTCTTCCCTGCCTGCTCTTCTCCCAGGTCAATGACCAGCTCCCTCTCAGAGTCCGAGTCCATGTCTTCATCCACAGATGCCGGCTGCACGGCCTCCTCAGAGCCCTTGGGTTTCTCTCTGGGATCTGGGGATGCGGGAGCAGCTTTCAGTTTCTCAGGAGGTTCTTTCTCTGAATCCATACCTGGTTTGTCTTTAGTTATAGGCTCGGAGGTGCTTGTTTTTTGGCTGGTTTCTCCTTTGGTTGTTGTACTGGCTGTAACAGCAGACTCTGCACTGCTGTCTTTGCCCTCACCAGCAGCCGCCGATGGTTTTGACTTTTTCTTGGGTGGCTCTTTCTCATTTTTATCATCAGCTACGGTTTTGTCATCTTGGCCGCTCTTAGATTTCTGTTCGTCGTCGCTACCGTATTCACTGTCGCTGGAGACAGACTTGTCGGATTCCTCTGTATCGCTGTGCTCTACGCCTTTATACACATGCTCAGATATTTCATCTATACCTGTGAGACACAGAAATGTTTAACCTTCAGGAAAGTAATACAATGGCTGCACATTCTCTATCAATAAGTCATTATAAATGAAAAGGATTATAGAGTGTAACTAACTCACTGGTGATGAAAACAGGACTATTTAAAAAGCGCTAAAAAAAATTATATTTAGAATTCTAAAAATGCTGTTCTAAAAACTATTAGATATTGCAGAAGGTGTAATGAGTTAAGCAAAACTGTATTTTACCTAACAGGGAAGATATAGGCATAATTAGTCGAAAAATATGTATGTTTTGTCACAAAACTCATGTTGGACTAACAAAACAAAAATGCTTTTTAAGAAACGTAAGTAATACCATCAGAGAGTTTTAACAGAATGGTTTGTGAATGGCAGCAAAACACTGAAAGCTGTTGCAATTGCAATTGTGCGTCAATTCAAAGTGTGAAAATGGCTGTTGTGTTTCTGATGACAGATTTCAATCTGAACTCACCCAGCTGTGCTTTGCAGCTCTCTATGGTCTTATCCAGGTTAAGTTGGAAACGGCTTCTGATCCGTCTCTTAGGGGAGGTGAGGGAGGGCTGAGCCCCATGCTGCTGTTGTTGCTGGACACTTTCACTCAGCTCCTTCAGGTCCATCTCTGCCTTACTACGATCTGAAAGCGATCACAAGACCGCTATGAGCAGATCTAAAAGCATACTCATTCGATCCTCATTACATCCTTATTTGAGCTACAGGACATCAAGTATAAATAAGATCTAGGAAGATTTAGAAAGGCTTTTTTGTGGAATAGCATCACCAATGAATTATCCACAATGAGATCTTAATGTCTTATTGTGAAGAAATTAAATATGGTCAGTTTTGATTTCATGTTTACTTTCACACAGTACAACATATTGAACATACTTCCATTCCCTCCATCACAGCCTTGTTTCTGTTCACATAAAATTTCATATGTTGTAACATTACATACAGTGCCTTGCGAAAGTATTCATACCCCTTCATTTTTTCATGTTATGTTCCTGCCTTATGTAAAACTGCTTTAAATTACTTTTTTTCCCATATCAATCTACACTCCATACACCATATAGACAAAGCAAAAACAGAATTGTCACAACCTCGTAAATTTATTAAAAATAAAAAAACTGAAATAAGTACATTGCATAAGTATTCTGGCTGGGCTACTCAAGGACATTCACAGAGTTGTCTATAAGCCACTCTTGCTGTGTGTTTAGGTTCATTGTCCTGTTGGAAGGTGAACCTTCTGCCCAGTCTGAGGTTCTGGATGCTCTGGACTAGGTTTTCATTAAGGCTATCTCAATATTTTGGTGCATTGAGCTTTTCTTCTGCTCTGATGAGTCCATCAGTCCCTGCCGCTGAAAAACAGCTCCATTTGCTTTACCATTATGGTGTATGGAGTGTAGATTGATGTGGGGAAAAAAGTAATTTAAAGCAGTTTAGCATAAGGCAGCAACTTAACAAAATGTGAAAAAAATGAAGGGGTATGAATATTTTCGCAAGGCACTGTATATTATGTAACATTTATATTTTAAACATTTTTATGCACACAGTGATGTCTACGTACCTAAAATTATTTTAATTTATAGCCTTCAATTTGGAAGAGAACAGTGGGCAAGATGTGATATAACATGGTATATAGTCAGGTTTTTTTTGTTCAAGAAATTAATACTTTTATTCTGCAAGTGTGCATTAAATTGATCAAAAGAAAATATTCAATATATAAAAAGAAAATAATATAAAAAGAAAATATTTCAAATAAATGCTGTTCTTTTGAACTTTGTATTTACCAAAGAATTCTGTAAAAAAATATATATATTTCCAACACTGATAATAATAAGAAATGTTTCTAGGATCATGTGAGGATCATGTGACACTGAAGACTGGAATAAATTAGATTTGAAATTATTTTAAATAGAAAACAGTTCACAATATTTCTATAAAACTGTGCTTTCGATCAGATAAATGCAGCCTTGGTGAACAAGAGGTTTTGAAAAACATTTAAAAATCTTTTTGACCCCACACTTTTGAATACTAGAAAATAAAATGTGGTTATTATCAGATAAAACAATTAATCAAAGAAACAAGCAGCAGATTAATCAACTGAAGGGGTTTTACCGAGGTTGAGGTTGAGGATGCTGCCGGTAGTGGGGGTCTTCTCCTGTTTAACAGGGGCGCTGGGAGCCGGTGAATGGAAAGGTTTAGGGCTCTCTAAGGTGTTTCCTGTGAGACCTGCTCTAGGAGGGGCAGGCGATGCTGTAAGAGTAGAAATGAGCTTTAGTCATACAAATCATTCGGTTTAAATATTATCAGGAAACATTTCATGTTATATATACCAGTGCAGTCCACTGACTCCTCTCCAGTGCTGTAATGTGGCAGAGCCGCTCTAGAATGACCTTTCTCTGCAGTCTCCTGTTCTCCATCAGATCCCGTATGGGCAGAGGAGTTAGTGCTCATTGGTGAACGAGGCATGTCCGTCATTGAGATTCGCCTTCCTGTCCCGCCCCCAACGTTTCCACTGGACACCATGCTCTTACCCACAAGCAACTTTGGAGATGCCGTTACATCAAAGCTGAACTTGATCTTCTCATGTTTTTCAGGTTTGACAGAGCCCGCGCCAGGGTTTGCCGGGTCCAGGAGCATCTGGAACTGGTTGTCTGGTGTGTAGGGTGTGCGGAATGGAGCGTAATTGAAGACTCCCAATTTTTTCCGGATGTTCTCTACGTACACTTCCATCTCCTGCATGGCACTGTTGAAGATGCTCTTGGTCTTCTTCACAGAGAAGGGGATCTCTTTGGACATGAGGTAGCAGTTGTTAATAGGAACCCAGGCCCTGTATATAAAAACGAATAAGTTAGAATAAATAAATAAAAAAACAGTGAAGTGACGACAAGTGTTTTCTATAAAGAAGTGTCAAGTAATTTTTCTGTCTTCACCTAGAGTGAAAAGCATCAGAATATCAATCATATCCAATCAGAACATATTGGTTTTGTATAAAGATATGAGAAACATGATTTTGGAAAAATGTAGGGCTGCAATAATTGATACAATTGAAAAAAAAAATCCGTAATGAAAATAATCAATAACAAATTTTATTAGTTGGTTCTGTGCACACAGAAGCTCAGTGATGTTGTTTTATGTATAAAAAAAAGTTGAAAAAAAAATGGATATGAATTTAGGAAGTCTCTTACTTTTATAGGATAAAATGTATGTATGTATTTTTGTAATAATGTAATGTTCATATTTGAAACCTTAAATGCATAGCACAGTTAATATTTATATAACACTGTAATATTTATTACATAATACATAAATATTATGTATACTTGTAATATTATTTATGCAATAATATTTGGAATAATTAATACATTTATAGCCTTCATTTTAAAGGAGAACATTGGGCAGAATGTAGAATAAATATATTTTAAAAATATAATAATAAAATAATGTTTTTAAAATTCATTTTCATCTGATTAATCAAAGAAGTGGTCAACCTATAAATGGACTGTCAAAATTCTATTGCGCAACACTGCTGTCGGTCACTTCTGGTTTAAAGCTAAGATTAACATGGAGCAAATTGATTTATAGTTTGATGTTGTGTGTATGGTTGGGACCCAGTTCAACGGTTCCTCACCTGTCGTGCTGCCCAAAGAACCGTGCATCCACTTGTCCATCTTTGTCTCGAAGAGCTTTGGCAGGCCAAAATGGGAATCCCTTCAGCTTGGCCCAGACCAGAGGGTGGGGGTTGCTCTGATGCACACAAATATTTCATGAACAGATGGTTAACTCACACTGGTTACTATGTGAAGAAGGAATTTCATTTCGTTTAGTGTAATACACTCACACATGGTTCACAAAACCAGTTGTCCCTTTTCTGGCATGCAGAGAGATAGCACTCTGGACAGACCTCGATCTCATTCATCTGAAAGGCAATTGGTATTTAAAAACTGGCACTGAATAAAGTGTGTACTTATTTTGGCTTACAATTTACAATACATACTTCATGTTCACAGATCTTTACAATAACTTTAGCCGTTGCTGTAAGTTTATGGTTGCCTAAGAGAAAAACAGACGCAAAGAGATAGTTTTAACAAAACAAACATTCAGCAGAAACTAATTTGACAGTACAGTGGAACCGTTAGCAACCGACCTCCATTATAAATGATACAGTTGTGCAAAATCCACTTCACATCAGCCAGGAAAGCCTCAGTGGAGCCGTACATTTTCTTTTTAATATTCTGAATAGGAACAAAAAGTGAACACACTAATAAAACACTTTCATAAGATGCCAGATTTTAGACATTCCTAGGAATTAGGAATATCGATCAGATTCAAATGCTTCGCTTTCACCTTTTCTAAAGTACAGAGATCCATGGGATGAAATATATATTCTGCATAATCAGGATGCTGTTCCAACGACACCGGCTTCTGAAATGGCTCCGTCTGAAGAAAAGAAAGAGATATTTTAGTATTAGAGGTAAAAAATAAAAATCATCCTGTAATACCTAAAACATTGTAACCATATTTTTTTTACTATTAATTTCTGGCAGCCAATGCTTCCAGTTTTTTTTACTGTAAATTGAATAGGATTTTTTACAGTGTATTGTACGCACAGAATGACACTTGTGTTGGCATACCTTTTTAAAAAAACACTTTTAACCCAACCTAACTAACCAAATTATGATGTAAAGGCTCTACTGTGAATGTAACCCCAAACAGCACCATTGAGACATTCATGAAGCTTTTCAGGTGGGCAGGTATTAGAGGTAAAAAAAAAAATCATCCTGTAATACCTAAAACATTGTAACCATATTTTTTTTACCATTAATTTCTGGCAGCCAATGCTTCCAGTTTTTTTTACTGTAAATTGAATAGGATTTTTTACAGTGTATTGTACGCACAGAATGACACTTGTGTTGGCATACCTTTTTAAAAAAACACTTTTAACCCAACCTAACTAACCAAATTATGATGTAAAGGCTCTACTGTGAATGTAACCCCAAACAGCACCATTGAGACATTCATGAAGCTTTTCAGGTGGGCAGAATGTGTCTGTGCCTGTTCTCTGAGGAAAGGGGCTTAAATGTAAGGCTCTCATTTCATATTGAAGTGTACAATGTTAAAACAAGTGGGAAAACATTAAAATTTCTCACAATTGCTTTTTTTGTGCTAGTTCTAGGCACAGCTCTCAAATGTAGACTAAATCATGGATCTGCAAAAGCAGAGTCACGGAAAGTCATGAAACCTACACCAGGCTGCTTCATCTTCTGGAGAGCAAACTTCAGCAGGAAAGACAGCTGATCCAATGTGAGCATCGTCATAGCTTTACTCTGAGTCTCTATGCACTCTGCAACTGTTATTTTCTGTAAACAAAAGAGAGAAATGCTTAAAGCTTTATTTTAATGCAAATATTAAAGGGATGTTTCTATATGTGACCCTGGACCACAAAACCAGTCATAAGGGTACATTTTTCAAAATAGAGATTTATATAACATCTGAAAGCTGACTACATAAGCTTTCCATTAATGTATGGTAGGATAGGACAATATTTGGCCGAGATACAACTATTTGAAAATCTGGAATCTGAGGGTGCAAAAAAATCTAAATATTGAGAAAATTGCCTTTAAAGTTGTCCAAATGAAGTTCTTAGCCATGCATATTAGGCTACTAATCAAAAATTAAGTTTTGATATATTTACAGTAGGAAATGTACAAAATATCTTCATGGAACATGATCTTTACTTAATATCCTAATGATTTTTGGCATAAAAGAAAAATCAATCATTTTGACCCATACAATGTATTTTTGGCTATTGCTACAAATATACCCCAGCGACTTAAGACTGGTTTTGTGGTCCAGGGTCACATATCGTAAAAAGCAAAATATAATTTTTCTGTTGAAAGAGTTTTAAAAATGTATGCAAAAATGAATTCAGATATCACTGGCATGGTATGCTGCCAGTTACAGCTTATGTTTAGTATTCAGTAACTTAGTAGGAGCATTACTAATTTCACATGCAAAAAAGTTAGCCAATCATAAAAGCAGTAATTTACATGCAATATAAACATTTTAAAGTTACAGTAGCAAAATAAGCCCGTTTAATTCTAAAAGTCAGAGAGGATGGAATATTGTCAGGTAAAACAAAAGTATGACTTTTTAGTGAAAGAAACCTAATATTACAAATGGATTTTGGAGAAAAAAAACAATTAAAAGTTAATTTAACTAATAGATATTGCCATACTTCCCCAGTTGATTAATTACATTAAGAATTGCAAACATTTTTTGTATTACAAGTTTTCTGAAATGTTATGTTTAAATATGCAAATAAGGCATTATCTAATTAATTATGCAATAATTATCACAAATTTCCAGAACAGAAATCTGAACAATGGATAAAGCCAGACTGGTTTTGTGGTCCAGGGTCACATATCGTAAAAAGCAAAATATTATTTTTCTGTTGAAAGAGTTTTAAAAATGTATGCAAAAATGAATTCAGATATCACTGGCATGGTATGCTGCCAGTTACAGCTTATGTTTAGTATTCAGTAACTTAGTAGGAGCATTACTAATTTCACATGCAAAAAAGTTAGCCAATCATAAAAGCAGTAATTTACATGCAATATAAACATTTTAAAGTTACAGTAGCAAAATAAGCCCGTTTAATTCTAAAAGTCAGAGAGGATGGAATATTGTCAGGTAAAACAAAAGTATGACTTTTTAGTGAAAGAAACCTAATATTACAAATGGATTTTGGAGAAAAAAAACAATTAAAAGTTAATTTAACTAATAGATATTGCCATACTTCCCCAGTTGATTAATTACATTAAGAATTGCAAACATTTTTTGTATTACAAGTTTTCTGAAATGTTATGTTTAAATATGCAAATAAGGCATTATCTAATTAATTATGCAATAATTATCACAAATTTCCAGAACAGAAATCTGAACAATGGATAAAGCCAGGTTCAAAAAGTTTCATTTTGTTGACATATCAGGGTCAACGGTTTTTACAAAACTGATTTCAGATGTCTTTTTTTATCACTCCATAAATCAGAAAATACAGCCAGAAAAAAAAAAAATCACCATGTTTTTAGGAACAAAATGGTGTATAAAATCAAGCAAATCAATATGAACAAACCTCTCTGTAAAAAAACTTCAGAATATACAGTAGATGGAACAAAAAAAAAAGATATGTATTGTAAAGAAACGTATTGTAATTGAAATCTACAGATGCAAATAGATTTTTTTTTTTTAAATATGTTTTTGTCTGTAGTATATCTTGCCCAAAATAAAACATTTCCAAATAGCTAACAATCTGCACTGTGAAGATAAATTATTTTTTAGACAAAATAGAGCTGCATAAGCCAGTACCTCACATTCAGGGCAGAACCAGTCTCCCTCGGGCTCTGCAGCCAGTTTGAGGCACTTAGCGTGGTAGACGCGCGGGCAGAGCTCACAGCAGAGCACTTGGCCCTCGCGGTGGCACACGTCATATGATGCAATTTCAAATTTTCCTTTCTCTTTGTAGACAGATGCAAATAGATTTTTTTTTTTTTAAATATGTTTTTGTCTGTAGTATATCTTGCCCAAAATAAAATATTTCCAAATAGCTAACAATCTGCACTGTGAAGATAAATTATTTTTTAGACAAAATAGAGCTGCATAAGCCAGTACCTCACATTCAGGGCAGAACCAGTCTCCCTCGGGCTCTGCAGCCAGTTTGAGGCACTTAGCGTGGTAGACGCGCGGGCAGAGCTCACAGCAGAGCACTTGGCCCTCGCGGTGGCACACCCAGCAGTAGAAGTCATTCCGCCCGTCCTGCGGTACAACATCAACAGGGTCTGTGGTGAGTGCGGGCTGCTTCACATAGTAAAAGGGACCATGTCTTAGTTCTGACTGGAATGCGGGCGAGAGAAACAGAGGGTTGGGGTTTCAAAACATGGGTATTAAAGGTAACAAGACAAAACAAACAGGCACAACGGTTATCGATCAGGGGGTGGCATGGAAGGACAGAAAAGGGCAAATGTAGACTAATGAGCATTAAATGAATGGAATTTCAATCTGTAACGTGAAAGTAAATGCATCCTTGTTAGAGGTGGAAACAAGCTCAGGTCTAATAATTCATTGCAGCTGCATCAACATGAATCATAGGCTGTCCCTGGATACACATTTCTGCTTAGCTCGCATGACAGCCACCTGCCTTGCATTGTTTGGCTGGGCTCACTATCTGAAGGCACGGACCTTAGGCTGTTTGTGAAAATTAATGTCACTGTCGAAATATGACACTTTTCTAGAAGGTAAAATGTTTTTTAAAAAAAACAGTAGTGGTCAACTTGAGGGTTTATCAATAGCTGATACCAGGGTTTGACAATAAGTGTGGTCTGTTTGCATATGGTTGCTGTTGAGCGAATGCTCGTGGTGTGAGATGCTGAAAAAACGGTGGATGTGATGATGTTTAAGGTGTGATGCAATAGCCACATCAGTCAAAACATGTACAGTCAAACCAAAATTTATTCAGACACCTTTCACACATTATCACAGTTTATTCACTATAATTTAGAAAATGGTAATAATATATGACAAGAACACAGAGATAAACTGTCAGAACAAATTCATCTTGATAATGTCAGATAACACTTAAAGGATCACTCCACTATTTTTGAAAACAGGCTCATTTTCCAACTCCCCTAGAGTTAAACAGTTGAGTTTTACCGTTTTCGAATCCATTCAGCCGATCTCCGGGTCTGGCGGTAGCACTTTTAGCTGTAGCTTAGCATAGATCATTGAATCTGATTAGACCGTTAGCATCTCGCTAAAAAATGACAAAAGAGTTTCTATATTTTTCCTATTTAAAACTCGACTCTTCTGTAGTTACATTTTGTACTAAGACCGATGGAAAATGAAAAATTGCAATGTTCTAGTCCGATATGGCTAGGAACTATACTCTCATTCCGGCGTAATAATCAAGGAACTTTGCTGCCGTACCATGGGTGCAGCAGGCGCAATGATATTACGCAGCGCCTGAAAATAGTCCCCAGCATACGATGTAACTAGAGAAGAGTCAAGTTTTAAATAGAACAAATATCGAAACTCTTTTGTCATTTTTGAGCGAGATGCTAACGGTCTAATCAGATTCAATGATCTATGCTAAGCTACAGCTAAAATCTGGCTGAATGGATTCGAAAACGGTAAAACTCAACCGTTTAACTCTAGGGGAGTTGGAAAATTTGCCTATTTTCAAAAATAGTGCAGTGTCACAGTTTACTTTATTTTGCTATCCTCACTTACATAAATGAACTATAGTGTCCTGCACCCACTAGTAAAAAAAATATCAAAAATGATATCTGGTGTCTGAATAATTTTAGGTTTGACTGTATACTCAACGGTAACAAATAAAACAAGAACACAGGAATGTATTAATATATTGATATTGAACTCTTTCTACTATAATAGCCTGATAAAAGAGGCCTTTCGATTTAATATTCATTGATTTACTTATTTCATTTTGAGGACATCAGTCTAAATATAGCTATTATTAAAATTATAAATCCATATAAGTTATTTAATTTTTAAAAAGTTTAAACTTGATGTAAACTTGATGAAGATAATGTACTCCACATCTGACTCTTAATTTAAAAACTGCTACTTATTGCAAAAAACAGCAAACTGTTTCATTTTCTTCATGCTAAAATATCAGCAAAATGTTTTCAAGCAAGTATACTTGGAAAAACAATAGGAAAATTACTTAAGTATTTGCATCTATTTGATTTCTAGAATCAGCATAAATGTTAATTGTGAATACAATTACATTTAATCAGTTAGAAATTTTGAACATTATATATATTTAAGCGGTTCAAATGTATGAATTAGTTTACATTTAACAAATTGGATTTATATGACAAATATATAAACCTGGATATTGTGTATTTAAAACACATTTGTTTGTTTTTTTAGTAATATTACATAAATCTCATCTTTACTTGTTTCAATTATATGTGACAAACAAATATGCATCACATTACGTTAATTAGTTTATGTTAAAACTGTTTAATCCAAATGGATGTCAATTTTATATGTAATTAAAATACATAAATCTTAAATATAGGTCTAAATATTTTTTGTGATAAGAGTGATAAGATTTTGATAATGACTAAAATTAAATACATTTTTATTTAACAAAATATTTGCAATCAGAAAATTGCATTATTAATTGACAAGGCTCTTAGCAGATTTTGTAACATTTGCCAAAAGTGCACACAAATCTTAAAGTGGCCAAAAATAAAGTTTGGCACTGTTTCAGGTGGCGAAACAGTGAACTCAATCATAAAATGTACATCTATATTAGGATGATAGTAATGATGAATACCATCAAATCTTGTAGAGAAATCACAACGAAGAAGTCGCCCAAAAGACAAAATAAAAAACAAAAAAACAGACAGACACTGAAATTAGTGAATGACTGACATGCAGGACTGAACAAGGGCCTTGTACAGGGAGTGAAAGTTGCACCTGGTCTTTACTGTTATTGATGGCTCCTGGTTTCTTCTTCTTTTTGACAGGACTGGAGGAGGATTCCGATGGCGAGTGTCCGTTTGAGGAGTGAGGGGGGCTGGAAACCTTGCGCTTAGGGACGGTCCTCTCTGCTGACCCTTGATCAGAGACTGCACAGCAATGGGACAGATTACTTACACAAACTTAGAGTTAAAACTGTAGGTATAAATTAAACTATACTGAACCAATTAAATCCGACCACAAAGCATCAACAAAAATGGAAGTTTAACAAACATGACGTGTTTGCACTGTTTTGACACTTGATAAATGTGGCAATAAATGTGGCACTCTCATCTCATCAAGCACAATTCTCACCCTTGGATCGTGTTGCGATTTCCATCCTTTCAATTGCATCTGACTCCTTCCCTCCTTCAGCCAAACTGCCACAATGAAAAGAAATCAATGGTATTTAAATGTCCATGTTGTACACCTATAACTGCTGTTTTGTCGTTATGGCACCTGCACTTCTGATGCCATTCTTTTCGGTACAAGAAACTGCTTTACTAAAATGATGCTTGAATTCATTTTTCACCTTCAGAGGGAATGTGTTTAGTGATATTGAAGCTAAAAATTTGATACTAGCAAAAAATAAATAAAAATCAGCTGAGGCCTTTCCTGATGGATTCGTCAACGAGTGACATGGCATAAAAATATCAAATTTTATGTAAATATATACAAAAAAGGCAAAGCAGTTTCATTTCTTTAAACAATAATGTGCTTTTCTCCAATCCAAAAACACAACAGACAACCCAATTTAATTATGCAGTGCAAAAAAAAAGAAATACTTAATATTTCTTGTATGTGTATATACGTGTATATACAGGTACATCTCAAAAAATTAGAATATCATGAAAAAAAAGTTCATTGCTAAAGAAGCTGGTTGTTCACGGAGTGCTGTATCCAAGCATATTCTTAGAAAGTTGAATGGAAGGAAAAAGTGTGGTAGGAAAAGGTGCACCAGCAAGAATTTGGGGACAAGATTTACTTGAAAATCAAAATGACTTAAGATATAAGTCTTATTTTCTGAAAAATGTATGAAAATTAGGTGAGTCTGATTGAAACAAGAAAAAAATATCTGTCTATGGGGTAAGAACAATAAACTTAATTCAAAGGAAAAACAAGATTATTTTTCTTACCCAACTTTCTTAATTTTTATTTTTATTTATTTATTTATTTTTAAACAAGACTGTCATTTTGCTTCAAGTAAATATCTCGATTTAAGAATGTTTAGATATTTGTACTGGAAAACAATACAAAAATACTGAGCAAGAAAATTATTTTTTGCAGTGTATCACTGGTGGAAGTAGCACCAAGATGGTTTCCTCTTACTGCCAAGAGAGAATTCTCTAATAGAAATCCCAATAAACACACAAACGCCATCTGAGCCATCAGAGCGATGGGCCATAACTCATCAGATGTAGCGTCAGTTGATGCTAATGCTAAACCTCTGTGGAAATTTCAATTTCAATGCAGCACTAGGACTTGAGACCTTCCAAGCGACATAACGTTTCCCATCAGCCTATGTGGGTTTAAAAAGCCTCCTTTTCTCTTCTGATGCCTGGGTAATTTTCACACCCACCCATCGTGAGCAGAGGAACAGAGAACGACCTCCACGAGCAAACCTCGAGATGATCAGAGAATCACACTGTTATTGTCTATTCTAGGTCTATTCTAATGCGTTTGCACTGATGTGGCAGCGATATCTTGCTCCGTCCTGCACCCCCAACCTTCACAGAGATGCAGATGGGGAGGGGAGGTGTTGACAGCATGCACAAGGCAAACATCTGTAGAGATTGAGCACTTGCCATCTTGGCCTTCTCACGTCCAGCCTACATGCACCATCCACTCCCCACCCACAGAAGAATCCAGCTCCTCTTACGCAAGCAATAATCCGAAAACATGAGTTAAAATGGCAAAATACAATCGCAGATACACCTATAACCTTAACACACAAGCTTCCTCCCCAAAAACACACAGTCAGACTAGCATTGTATGGTTGTCCATCTAAAAACTGACATATAATAACAGCATACCTTTTTCTTTACAGGCACAGTACACAGATTCTTCAGGCTGAGCCTTTGAAATGTTTTTTCAGATATAAAGGCAGTGAGGGATGAGACAAAGATGGGTGCAGAATTTTCCAGAAGGGCCCTGCTCTCCCTGCTGCTCTCAGAGCGATTGTCAATCTTTAACCTCAGCTGTGTGCTGCCGATTGGTTTGAGAGCCACACGGAGGCGCGTGATTGGGCGGCTGGTGCTGTGTGTGCCACACAGGCTCTCCCTGCTCTTCTCTCTCTGCTCCGATACACTGCTGCAATGCAGGGAGGGCTGCTTCTGCTGCTGCCATTCACCGGGAAAATACTCATATTCTACCCTGAGAACTACCGGTGTGAATAAACATGGGACGCAGATGTTCGGACAAACATGTCAGATGGTTTTATTCTCCTCCCCTTCTTGCAGTCACGGGTTAAGGGCGACCATTTTGATCCCATTCTCCGTCCTTGTCGTGTTAAGTAAGAGCCAAACGGAGATTTGACAAATGAGCGGCTCTCAGGAATGCAGCAAGGGCCTTGTAAACACCAAGAGACAAAGAAAAGGCTGGAAAATGTAATCTGAGTCGTGGTAAATTGCAGGTCTTGGGAATACTCCTTATTCTCTGTCATTTAGCTGCTCAAGACTGACTTACACCCAGCCGGCTGCCAAAATGAGCTCATGTACCACTAAAAATAATTTAAATTGCTCACTAATGTTGTAATAGGATCAAGGATGCTCATTGTTCCGTCTGGATCCATTGATTTATTCAAAAACACATTGAAAAAAATTACTGTTTTTTTAATGATTATGTTTTTAATTTCTGCATTAATTCAATAAAACAGTAAATGATGTCACAGAGGCGATCCCTGTGGTCCTAAATCACCAACGTCAGTGTGTCTCCTAAATATCAGATAATTCAACCCTTTTATGACAAAACAAGGTTAGTTCATGTTGTAAAATATCACGTGGATTTATGATTTTATGAACGTGGATTTCATGACATTTGTAATTCATACACACTACCGGTCAAAAGTTTGGGATCAGTAAGACTTGTAATGTATATATACATATAAGCAACAACCAACCCATTATTCAAGGTGCAAAAAATATTGTTACACCACATGACATTTTTTTAGTAACATTCATTTATACTTTTTTTTCTTTTCTTTTTTAAAACAATAAAACAAAAATAAATAATTTGAGTAATATTTAGAAAAAAATATGGAAACTCTTCTTTGTCTACTACTAATAAAAATGATTTGATGATGATAATTCAAAATGATGTTTCTTATATCTCCCTGTTGTAATTCATTCTCTGCTCTTTTTTAACACACAAACTGATCCACCCCCCAAAAATCTCAGCAGCTAAACATTAAATCACATTTCTAAAGTATAATCTCAAACAGATATCAGGAAATCACGATTGCACATACACTGTCAGTCAGACAGGTGAAGCCGATAAACAGTCAGGTTTAATCACTTGCTTTAACAGCCAAACTGTCCAACGTGCAGGTTATTTTGCAGACAATGACTGCTATGGCAGGTTAAGAACTAAAAAAAAAAAAAACACCTCAGTTTGACATTATGGTTGTGGAAAAAACACTATTCCACTGCTTTGACCTCTGATCAGACCCCTGCTGTATTAAATACAGTATCCAACGACTTGCCATCCAAGAGAAATATTTGAAATACTGGATACAAACGTAATATTAATAATGCCACATTAAGACAAAATGCTTGCATTCACAGACACAAACACGGTCTTTGTGGTTGCACAGTCGAAAGAGGAAGTCTGTCTGAAATGGCTGCCAACTCATACCACAACTTAAGTTTTGATAAAATGCCTGGCCTGTACAGAGTCTTTACATCCTGAGTAAACAGACAGAAGCCTCTATTTAACCCAGAAAGACAAACACAAGCCTATTACACCATCTATATGCATCTATTGATAGAAAAGAAAGTCTCTTCTATTTCAGATCCAATAACTCTGTCAGCAAATGCAATCTGCTGTGTGCTTTAGGCCTATAGCCTGAGCAAAATGGACATTCAGCATTATGTCGGCCATTGGAAAGTGTTCCCTTAAATTGCAACCTGAGCCAAAAATGCTGCTCGATCTTTCTGCCAGTCTATATGTGCACTTCCTCTTACAGTCTGTACTGTCTGCTCTTCAGGGCCTATCATTTTGAGAGGTCTGGCCTGTGACACAACCTGACACAACTGTGCTCCTCTCCAGCTCTAGAGAAACTTTACTAGGAGAGAGACCAGAAGAGGCCAGTTTGGTCACAGTGTTAGCACAGGTCAGCCATGCGAGCCTGGTGACTAAAACACAGTGTGAGTGTGATTTCTGAGTTGCCTCTGCCTGCCAGGATCCAGCTCTTTGGTGTTGGGACAGGTTTTTGTCCCCTGTCTCTCAGAAAATCCTGTATTTCTGCATGACATAATTCAACCATTAGCGTTAAGAGGTAGTGTAAAAAGCATATAAGCAATGAAAAATCTCTTACCTCTGTGGATGCATGGCTTAAAACAGTGGGTAATGTCAATGCTTACTAAAACATGGAGGACAGCCCTCCCTCCCTCTCTCTCTACACAGCAGTCTCTGCTCTCCAAGCCAGCCAAGCCAACATTCTGATAACAGCAATGAAAGCAGTTCTGTGATTGGCCGGTTTTTACAGGCAGGATGAAAGGCAGCAGCTGATTGGCTGACAGGTTTCCTGAGTAAATTTCTTTTGTTCAGTACAGACAGGCTGTGGCAGGATTGTGAACTGAAAAAGGAGCTAGGCCTTGATGTGTACAGCTAAAACTGAGCTAAATAATTTACAGTCAAGCTCTTGTTAAAGGTGTTTTACATTAAATTAAAACAAGTAATTGTTAAAGTAGTAAAAAGGCCTTGACAAGGCATTGAGTGCTGAAATTAAACTCTGCTTAAAGGAAAATCATACTTAAATGATAAATATCTGGTTCATCTGGTTTTTCAGCCTTAATACATATATTTGCATATTATATGCAGTTAGAAAAGTTTCAATTTGAATTTGTTAATCGTTCACTACGTCATTACCTCTGAATCATTCACTAATTCGTACCACATCATTGATTCTACAAATTCATATCATCATAACAGCTTGGGTTGGTTATCTAGTTGTTTCTTCAAGTACATTAGTGTTAAGAGTGATTTCTACTCAAACAGTAAAGAGAGAGCCTTAAAGGGACAGTTCACCCAAACATGAAAATTCTGTCATCATTTACTCACTCTCAAGTTGTTCCAAACCTGTATGAGTTTCTTTCTTTTGTGGAATTTAAAAAATATATATATTTTGAAGAATGTTGGCAACCAAACAGTTGCTGGTCCCCACTGGATTCCTTAGTAGGGGGAAAATACAATTTAAGTCATTTGGGACCAGCAGCTCTTTAAGATATCAGGCTCTTGTTTTTTTTTAGCTTCAGACTATGAATCAGTTCAGTCTGAGGAAGATATCAAACATGTTTCTGTATAAGTTTGTAGTGTTCTGAATGACTTAACAGTCGGGTAGTTTGTGATCCTCAGTTATTTAGTGTATGATGCCTAGTTTTTTCTGTAACTATTTCAGGCGGGTAAATGTATGATGCCTAGTGTTTTAAAATCTGTTCAGATTTTAAAAATCATGTAGTGTATTCCAGCCTTAATTTATACTCAAGATGCCATCACCATATGTTTCAAACAGACCTGAGAGGGTGGGGTTTGGGCACAGCTTATCTGAAACCCACTCTAGTTCGACAGGTTCTGAAGCACCTTGCAGTGGTTCAGCTGCCAAAACACACCCCACACTTGATGTCTCCTTGCAAAACCAGACTTTGTGTTTTAGTATCTAAAAGGAACCAACAACACATGCACATTTAATCAAAGGCTACTGAAACTGACTAATAAATTATTAGATTTTTACACATTTTGATTTTTACATTTGCTTGCCCATGCAAATCTCACTAACACAATACTAGGGTGTTTTGGGTGGTTGCCAGGATGTTGCTATGCGGTTACTATCATTACTGCATTACTATCCATTACTATCCTGTTGCCAGGGTTTTGTGGGTTGTTGCTATGGTGTTCTGGGTGGTTCCTTACTAGCCCAATTCCTTAGACAAAACTTAAAAGCGAATTCTTAAAGGGAGAGTTCGCCAAAAAAAAAGAAAAGAAAGAAAATAAAATTCTGTCATTGTTTACTCACACTCATGTCATTCCAAACCTCTATGATTTCATTTCTTCAGTGGAACACAAAAGAAGATATTTTGATGAATGATGGTAACCGAAGTGTAATTACATTATTTAAAAGCAATAAACAGAATGCTTAACATAGCCCTTCGTCATCTTTAAAACATACGAGTTCAATACTGTTCAGAGACCTAGTAGGTCATGTCACAGACTGTCCACTAGAGGAGGCTATTCAGCTTTCTGCTCCTCATGTTGTCATCTATGCTGAGGACAGCTGTCTGAGACTCTCTCTGCTGCATTAATAAATCAAAACACATACTGACACAGACACACACTCACACAGCATGGAAGATCTCAAGCCAAAGAAATATTGATAATATGGAGAGTTTTTCCATAGACACACTGATTTTATTCAGCTGCATATCTACAGTACAGTATATATTCACATGAGTCACAGGATTTGCTGGTTTAAAATGCAGTTTAGTTATAAAAAACTGTATATATAATTATACTGTATATATTTTCTAAAAAATACTGACAGCTTGGAAGATCTCTAGAGATATCTAGAAATAATAGCATTTCATCCATCTCTTTTATTAAACACTCAGTTGCCGTAAAGGGATAATTCACCCAAAAATGAAAAATCTGTCATCATTTTCTCATCATCATGTCATTCCAAATCGAAATGACTTTCTTTCTTTGGCGGACACATAAGAAGATATTCTGAAGAATTTTGGTATCCAAACCATTTCCCACTGACTTCTATTGAATGGGCAAAAAAAACAAAAAACAATACTGAGCCATTTTTCAAAATGTCTTTTTCTGGGTTCCACAGAAAAAAAACGAAAGTAATACAGGGTTGGAGTGATGTGCCAGTGAGTAAATGATGACAGAATGTTTATTTTTAGGTGAACAATCCCTTTAAAGAGCTTCAAGCACAGTGATACAATTTCCTAACCTTGAATTAAACAGATGTAATTATTGCACTTTTTTTACTCACTCCTCATTCATACATTCCTGAAGAGGTGATTTAACCTAGTAGATCTTTAAAGCACTTCATCTGGAGAGGGGATGGACAAAAGAGAGGTTCATGACTGCATGTTTGCAGGTAGAGAATCTATAGATGCAGATGATTAGGGGCTATCTCCTGTCCTTTAAAACTGCTATCTCCTGTCCTTTCAAAGGGGACAGAGTGAGGGGGTTGAGGGGGTAAACCATTTCACACTCTTGGTAGGGGGAAGTGAGATTGTGCTGTGAATTGGGGGAGGGAACAACAACAGGTCTATGGGCCGCTTTCTGGGTTTCTGAAGAATGTTATTGGGACACTCTCAGTTTTGTGGTCAAATATGCTCAAAACCGAAAATTTTAATCTCATATAGCATGTTATTACTCTACATTATTTAAAAATAAGACTTAAAAAGCACCACTCCACTTCAAATTTGCACATTTCCTTGGCGTACAAGTCCAAAAAGACATTTTAAAATATATTCTTTAGTTATATGAGTTTTTCCTCACTGATTATCAAATTGCTTGATGCTTCAGTTTCACGTCTACGTTTTTTGGCCAGATGAGACCAGAGGTTGTATAGCAGGGAAATGTCATGACAAGAAACAGCAAGCAATGAGCTAATTACTACTCTCTCTCTCTCTCTCTCTCTCTCTCTCTCGAGACGAGTTCATTGCTATCTTCCATGTCTGGTCTTCAGAGGGCAGAGCACTTACAGCCTCTGCAGACCACAAGAATACAAGTGTGTCCTAAAATGCTTTTTTGAGCATTTATTTATATTTACATCAAAATATATAAATATGCATCACAAAATGTGAGCTTATTATGTATATCAGGCATAGGAACACATGCCTTTGATAATTTACAGTAAGGTTATCATAGTTTGCTGTGTCATATATATATTATACATTAAAGCCTTTATTTTGTAGCCTTTCCTCCTGCACACACAGCAGTTTAATTTATTATTATTTTTTAATTATTTTAATTTAAATGTATTATTATTTACTATTTGTACACTTAAAATGGATTTTTCGGGGCATTTTATCTTTGCAAGAACATATTATTCTTTCTAACCATACAAAAACACATAGTATGTCACCTATTTGCTTAGTAAATATAATTTACTTTGCAAGTATCATCAATGTGAACAATAGCTTATTTTAATGCATAATAAAATCAATGCATAATATATGTCTAGAAAAACAAACATGTTAGTAATGAAAAATAAAGTTATAGATGTTTGCCTCCCTATTTGCCTAAAAATATTTGCCTCCACGTTTAAATATCCACAGTATTTCTGTCACTTTTGGTGGCAAATTTAACTAGTTTACATTATGCAGTATTGTGCATATTGAAAAGCATTCTGCAACTTATTCGCAACTGTTCAAGTGCTTGTAGGCTACATCGTGTATATTGTGTAACGTATTCTTTGTGTGCATAATGTATATTAGGCTACATGTAAATCTCGATATTGTGTATTATGTGTAAATTGTGCAGTGAGTTTATTGTGCTCTTGTACATTGCCTTATACTGTCACTACGTGGCTGCAATGTTGGTGGACCACATGAGACCGACGTACACGTTGTAGTGCCGATAAAGTGATTGATTTGACAGACTATGAATAAAAATGTGTGCTACGAACAAATAATTCGATCTCTCGCAAAGACAGCGAATTCATCACACTCAACTTATGCAAATAAAGGCGTAACGTCAGCATACTCATTAGGGATACGTGTTATCTCTATGTGGTCCTTGGAAGAGCTCAAAATAAATGCACTATATTTTTTTCTACGATATTGCGACTACTGCCCATCTCCTACTGGATGTCTATTTTTCGATCTGCGGGGGTTCATGTACTTGTAGTTTCTTTCCTTTCCAGCTCTGTGTAGAATGCTCGTATCGCCCGAATGGCAGGACTACATTACCCAGCAGCCCCCTGCGCGCATGGTTCGGGCAAGGCTTCTTTAAGCTTTGGGAGTGTTTCCCATTTAAACAAACATAGCTAATGCCGAAGATGGCGGATGCGTAGAAGTGGCTTAAAGAAACTGGAGTGTTTCACTGGATACATTTACACCGGTAAGTGAACCGAATCACTTCTTTGCGATCGTAAATGGATGCATTTAAGCAATTGTTGTGTTCGTGAAACAATGTTACGTGATGCCGGTTATTCAGAAGTACATTCTTGTCCACGGTGGGGATCTTGCCACCTAGTTATTCTGCCTTTGAGACAATAATCGTAGTAACACAGTGTTGCCAGAGACAACATTCTCCAGCATGTTTGTTTACTTTTCATAACAAGATCCGTTTGTGCATTTTTAAAGAAAATTCTTATGCGGTCATATTAACATTTTGCCGTTAAGTAGACGCAGTTTTAACACTATTTTCTTAAGTTAATGAACATTT